GTACAATGGAAGAAGCCGGGAAGGAGTTCCACAATTGAGAAGTGCGAGAGAAGAGAACGTTTGGTTATATCTAACAATTTCAATAGTAACACGATGAGACCTAGCTGCCAATCGAGTACTGCGCTTAAATTCGTAAAGTCGATGTACCAAAGAGGAAAGCTCATCAGAACAACTGCCATAAAATTATTTATAGAAAAGACACAGGGAAGCTACGTTACGGCGGCGGGGAAGTCAATGAAACCGAGATATCGGGTCAGGACCGATAACCTTGCAGATTCTTCTTTAAACAAATTAGATTTTAACTAATTTCAATTGAATTGTTTTTATGGTTTAAATATAACAAATTCTCTCATTAAGAATTTTATAAGAAATGAGGATATATTGAAATATATGTATATATTAATCGTATGTCAATTATAGATCATTACACTTTCAATGTATCTTTCCCTGTACGTCGTAGAAAATTTGGGGTTTACAGCTATATGACGTTGAAACACCGATTCTTGTACAATCACCGAAGTTAAGCAATGTCGAACCTGGTTAGAACCTAGATGGGTGACCGTTTCGGAATACCAGGTACTGTAAGCTCGGGTGTGAAGTGTGGTGTAATGGATAACGGCTTGGAATTGGAAATCAGAGAAGCGAGTTTCAATTCCAGTCAGGTTCGTTATATTCACTTAGACGCAAATACCTTTATGAAAGGTATGAATCTCCCCCCAGCTATGGGTTAATTAGTAGGACTTATATCAGTAAATCATTGTTATCGAAAAAATTCTTAAAATCTAAAATATTTTCTGACTTTAAATAACACGCAAAAAGTTGGTAAGCTATAAAAAAAAAAGAATATTTGGTCAGTAACAAAGAAAATTTTTATTAAAAAATCAGTTAAATAGACGATTGGGAAAATGATAAAAAGTATCATGTTAAGAACTAAAGTCAGCAGTGATTTATGCCACTTTTGACAGAAGCGAAGTAGTTACGCTATGTGAAATGAAATTTTCATCTACACACTTTGTAAAGAGTTTCTACATTATTTGAAGAGATTTACAGATCTGGCCAAACCTTTAGGAGTGTGCATGACAGGATTCGGTAATTTGTTAGCCAAAAAATGTAAAGATGATTTATGTTTTTAAAATTAATAAAAATTACAGAAAAGGCGTTTATTATTATTATTATTTTTTAATTTCCTGAAGGATTTAGAGAAAAGTCTGATGCAGATCAGATCAAATAAATTTTGATTCAAGACTTGGTTTGATACAAGATTATAGAAATAGATATTCTTTTAAAGTTTATTCCAAGGCCTGTTATATTATAATGTCCATTAGGTCGTTGAGTAAAATAAACAATTCCCTTACATAAATCTAAAAAAAATTAATGAGTCAGTTAAATAGTAGGTCAGACTCGGTTCTTTAGCCTTGGTTGGCAACCAGTCTACCGCAGAAAGAAATGGCAACTTATATACATATATATATATTCACTTTTTCTTTTATATATATTTATATATATATATATATATATATATATATATATATATATATATAAAGAAATAAAATATATATATATATATATATATATAATATATATATATATATATATATATATATATATATATATATATATATATATATATATATATAAAGAATATATATATATATAAATAAAAAAATATATATATATTTTTTATACATATTCTCTTTTTCTTTTATATATATATATATATATATATATATATATATATATTCTTTTTTTTTTTCTCTTTCACTTTATTGTTATTGACAATCTCACTTTGTTCCGACACTGTATCCTAATTCACAGAATCTTTCAACACTAATACCATCTCCACCCCTTGGCCCTGTAACCTTTGTTCGGCATCTCACTCACCTTCCACCTACCACCAATCACAATTTTTAAATCTCAGGTTATTTTCACATAAAGATTCGCATAGCGAGAAATCAATCGGGGACTGGATTTTTTCGAACAATTCCACCTAAAGCGGACGCTACCCAGCCTCAAGAACTAATGTCAGATAGTCTCCACCGTCCCACCGTTTATATCTCGCATCCGCTGATGAAGAAGACAGTCGCGTTTGAAAATTCCAAACTTGGGACATCAATCTCCGAGCTTCATTTTTGTCACCTGGTTAATATTAATAAATGTTTTTCGTACTGATTCCATGGGTACTCTTTCATTTGACTTTGTTTTATTGACCAACTTATCTACTCTACTTTATAATATATATATATATATATATATATATATATATATATATATATATATATATATATATATATAATTATTTAAAAAAAATTATAACATAAATATGTTATAAAATCACTACAAAAATAGCCATTTTGTTTCAACACCCTCAGTGTCTTATCAAGTGATTTGAGCACTCTTTTAAGAATAGTAATTGTTGGTTATTGGAATTCATTCCGTATACACCAATTATATACTTATATATATATATATATATATATATATATATATATATATATATATATATATGAAGAAATATAGTCTTAAGGTGTGCTATATTTATGGGATAAAGTGCTCAATATCAGAGATAGAGTGTGTGTAAATATAAAAGTGAACATTGAAGTCAACACTTAGATATATATTATATATATATATATATATATATATATATATATATATATATATATATATATATATATATATATATATATATATATATATTATTTTAAGACATTTTATGTTTTACATTCTTTCGAACCTGTATCATATACGGAACCGTCATATAGCCTGACGTGCCTTTTAACCGATTCGGCCACTGAAGATCGTTCGGTTAGCAAGGATAGGATACAGGTTCGAATCCAGGTTCGAATATTTTCTATGAAAATTTCTCGGAAATCCAGGCCGGTAAATGTTGTTTAATACTGTTTATTATAAACAGAGCATTTACTTAAATATTTGTATCTATAAGAAGAATGTTTCAACATAAAATGTCTTAAAATTGTCCGACTTTGTCCATTTCATAATATATATATATATATATATATATATATATATATATATATATATATATATATATATATATATATATATATATATATATATATATATATATATGCCCCAAAATAGCGATACCTAAGCTTTTAAATGCATTTTGTAAACGAAAAGTCGTTCTTGAAGCTTTTATTTATTTTTAATTTTAATTTCAAGCTAATATTTTAAATTTAATATTTTCAAGGGGCAAAATAATTTGCTGTATTTTATACCGAATATAAATTGATTGGAATTATTTTTTGATTATCAGTAAAATCTGTAAAATCTTTCATGTTGACAAATCATTCTCTTTATTAAAAATGTTTAAAAAATAAAATAAACTTTTCTAAAACTTTATTTGTGGAAGATTAACTGATTCAAAGTTTAATTAACCTGAACTAAAAGACATATTATTTTTAGTTTTAAATATCGCAGCAAATCCTTTTTAACACGGAGCTGAGTGTTTTTATGAGCAGTTTTTCCAATTTACCAATAATGTGTTGTATATTAGGATCGAAATTGTAGATAAACTGCCCGAAGTTCATGTTTGTTCTGTTGTTTGCAACATGAAATTAGAATATATATATATATATATATATATATATATATATATATATATATATATATATATATATATATATATATATATATATATATATATATATATTCATTTACGTGCTAATACCCTTGGGAAAAAGTATTAATACACTTCTTCCTCCAACTATGGGTAAACAGAGGACAAACTGGGTTCTATAACCTTGGATGGCAACTGGTCTAGGAGAAGGACAACTCTGAATTCAAAACCTGTGGAGGGTCGTTTGGGGACCTTGTGGCCCGTAGTCTCTGTATTCGGGCATTCAAAAAGTGTGGTTGGTTCTGCACAAAGACTTCATCACTATAATCAAATCATATGTGCTGGTGTCTGGCTGTCGGTTTCTAGGAACTGAACTGCTTGACCCTCATACGTCAAATACGATGGAAAGTCCGCTTATATATATATATATATATATATATATATATATATATATATATATATATATATATATATATATATGTGTGTATGCGTATGAATGTATGTATATTTGAATAGGCGAACACTCCCACCAACTCAGGTGCTAACGTGCAAATAGATACATACAAAAACATAAACATTGAAGCATCAGACCTGACTTGCGGTTAGAACAGTTAGGTTTTTTTTTCAACAGAGATCAGGGAATCATTCAGTAGAGGTTGACCTTCTTCATTGGCACGAAGAATGGAATTCAACTGAACCAATATGGAATACTAAAACCTTTCTGCAAAATAATCTGCAGACCGTTTGTTGCTTGTGGACAGTTTTTCAGCCCAAGTTGGAATATATAATGAGGAAAAAAGGATTGGTGATTTGAATACTCATATTAAGGTCAGATTGAAAGCAAGCAACATAACGAGTTAGTACAATCAGGACCACAAGGTATAAAAATGCGATAAAAGAGTTACTTAGAGCAAAAAGGTGTGCCGAATGTTTTAGAGGCCAATGACCATTCACACCATGAAAGGATATGACACATAAAAGATGTATATTGAATTCTGACTTTCAAGGTAGTGGAGCCTTCTCTCATTGGAAAATTGTGCAATACTGTTTACCTACACCAACACTTCCTCTTTTTTATTAATATTCACTCAGCACAAGACCCAAGGGCCACCCATTGTAAAGGGTCACTGTGTGGTGTCGTATTAGCGAAGAAAGGACAAGTAGTAAAGTTCTTTGGACTATGTAGGAAAGATAAAACTCAAGACTTGAAGAGGTCAAGATTGAATTTATGAATAACAATTCAGAGTTCAGTCGGAGATTTTAGAAGTATAGTGTGGAATTAGACTTTAAAAGGAACCGGAAACCCAATTCTAAACAGGAAACAGGGGATAAACCTCTACTCCTGTTCAAAAGATCAAGGAGAATTGCAAACCGTATAATAGATCTCTACTAAAATTCGGCCGTACCTGCAGTGTCTTAGTATCTATCTATCTATCTATCTATCTATCTATCTATCTATCTATCACAGTCTTTTCATTATCTATCTATCTATCTATCTATCTATCTATCTATCTATCTATCTATCTATCATACGAACAATCAGTTCAACCATTTTTCTTTTCAACTTACCCTTTGTAACTTGGATATAACAGACAGATTTCTAATTTTCCTATCATCTTCCCAATATCTGTTCCAAACAGAAAAACAATCTTACATGCTACTTAAATGTTCCTTTTTATGGGGGCTTGTTTACACCAGCATTCAAGCGGCAACGACTTATTAGGCAAAATAACCAGTTAACATTTTACGCTTTTGCAGGGCGATGAAGCTGAAAAATAAGTTTTCCCTGCCTAATCGAGCACACATACATATTTCGCCCCTTCTACTGGTATTTGAGGCTTTCGCTTTGGGAAGCATGGCATTTTAGGGATGTTCTTTCTTCCTTCAAATAACTTTTTGGCAGCTTCTAATGGCCAGAGAAACATGGCGCTTATTTCGTGATACTCCGCACATTGTTGAGGCGATTCGACTCCTAGGCACGATATCTTTTTCCGCCATTGAAAAGATGGCTACGAACCAAACAAATTTTAATGAGAATATCATCATCATCATCATCCTCATGATCGTAGTCATCACTTTTCTTTCACGTTATCTTGTTTTTCTATTCTTCTTTGTCGTGGTAATCTACCTTTCCTTTCTTTTTTATTCCTCTATATATATCCTAGATGAACTAACTCTAATAGGTTCTTCTTATTGTTTTTCTTTTTCATTTCTTACTTTTTCTTTCTTTCTTTCTTTCTTTCTTTCTTTCTTTCTTTCTTTCTTTCTTTCTTCTTCTTTTTTCCGTGCCGCTTGCTTCCTTTCCATTTTGCCAGTTTTCTTTTCCCCATTTTCTTCTTGATCTTCTCTCGCTTCTTATTTTCTTTCCTTTCTCCTCTTTTCTATTTTCCGTTTTACTATAACAGATTCTTCGTTTCTTTTCCCTTTTTCATTTCTTTCTTTCTTTCTTTCTTTCTTTCTTTCTTTCTTTCTTTCTTTCTTTGCTCCTTGCTTCGTTTCCATCTTCCAGGCTTCTTTTTCTTTTCCATTTTTTCTTCTTGATCATTCTTCGCTTCTTATTTTCTTCTCTTTTCCACTCTTGCCTCTTTTTCTTTTTTTCTAATAGATTCTCCGCTTTTTTTCTTTTTTTCATTTCTTACTTTTTCTTTCTTTCTTTACAGTTTCTTCTTCTACTTCTTAGAAACTTACTCATTACAAGTTTACAGTAACGGAGAACTCTTTCCTATTTGACGATGAGACGAATTTGCCCATCGCTGTACTACGGTAGGCGCTTTTTCATCTTCTGCTTTATTTTTCCCTAATTCCTTGCCCCAAGGGAATGTAAAGTAATGTTATGCGCTTGAGCCTCAGCCAACTGTCCCCTAGGCATTATCTCTACCGAAAGCGAAATACTGCAGGAACTAGCGCAATATTTGTCCCCATTCCATGTAGACGTGTGCTACCAACTCACTTTAAACTTGACCTTTTGTCACTTTCCTCTTGTGTAGCCGTGCTGATAAATTGAATTTTTTTTTTTACATCGAAATGTACGGTTCAGAGCTCGTTTCAGTGAATGATTCAAAGCTGTGCATGACTTAATGGGAACTGACATAATAGTGACGTAACAGTTTATCAGAATGGAGAACCAAGATCGAATTATGTTTGATGATTGTTGGATAAGAGCCAGCAAACTTTCCACGGCCATCCTACAATGTAGTCAAAAGAGGCAGATAGAGAGTAAAAGAATGTCTCTGGGTGTACTGGAAGATCCTTCACAGAGACTCAGACATTGGTACGTTACCCGAGATATATGGACTGAACTAGTCAGGTGCAGAGCTGCGGAGTGATCTTACAACCACGCACGGTCATAGGACTGAGGATGAGGATAATGACGATGAATTCATAGATTTTCAATAACCAAATAAAGTCGTCATAAAATCTCTTCTCAGTTTTTTATATTCTCAGTACGGATATTTCCTCATTTCCAGCAATTCATTATATACAGAAACGTTTCGGTTAGAGATAGACTGCCGGTCTCTTGTAAGTGGTTTTGTGTACTTCTGTGTGCGTTAAAATGTAACTTTTAGCCTGTAACTCATTGCGTCGACATGTTTAGCTTCTACCACTTATATTCACTTACGCCTAAAATGCCCTTGGAAAAGTATGAATACATCTATTATCTTCCAGGTAGGGATTAATTAGTAAGACTTGTATCACTAAACCATTAGTATCCCCCCAAAAGTTTTACAATCTAAAAATATTTTTCTGGCTTTAAATAACCTGTAAAGGGTTGATAAGTCGTAGAAAATAAATGAATGAATCAATCTATATAATAATGATGCTTATATTTCTGTATGTCTCTACTTTTACTTTAGTCCAGCAAAAACAGCAGATAGTAGCGCACTTATTGTTAATACAAGTTAAAATGATCTAACTTCAAG